GTTTCGGATAATAAAAAAAAATATGATTTTGATGTGTCAGTGCCCCTTTAAAGAGCCTGGCGTCTCCTTGTTTCACCATGTATATCGTTTGAGCAATGGTGAACTGCGTGGTTGTAGGGTACTCTAACCACACGCGGAAAAAGCCCACCGACGAAAACTGTGCGAAAGTGGTCGTTTTCCTCACCCCAAAAGGGGTGACTAACAGGTGTGAGAGGACGGCAGCCTTAACTTCGAAAAGACGCTAATGAAAAATGCGCCACATTTTTCATTAGCTTCATTCATTACTCACACGATGAGCCGCGCGTTATGGTTCTGCACAGGAACGAACACCGTAGGCACGACGTACGACGCGGTGGCGATGGAGCAACACCGTCACACGGCCGAAGTAAAGAGAGTCCGCTAGAGACCAAAAAGAACTGTACAAGCTTATTCACCTGGGCTAGTTGGTGGTACATTTCAGGATTAAAAGCGTTAAAAAACGAGGACCAGTAAAAGAAATACTGTGTGTGTGCGTCTCCGTTTACTAGTCCTCGTTTTTTAGCGCTTTTAATCCGAAAAAGACCCCCCCCCCAAAAAAAAAAATAAAAAAAATAAAATACAACTAGCAGAACAAAAGCACCAAAGTAGAAAAATCGCAGTTCTTGCAAAAGAGCTGCCGCCACGGGTAAAAACTAATTAAAAACACAAAAAAAATATTCCTAGCGCGCATCAATAGCAAAAAAAAAAAAAAAAAAAATGAACAACTTTGTTTTGCCTTAAAAGACCCATTAAAGGAGCTGTGCAACGATTCTAATGTTGAGAGAATTGGCATCTTCTACTTTTTGACAATATTCATCTTGTCACAAAGGACAGAAAACACACCTTCCTTCAAAATGCTGCTATTCCGCCGCGTAATCGCGAGGCAAAAATTAGAATATTCCCCGACCTGCAGCCGCGACGGCGGCCGTGAGAACCACGCGGCGTGACGTCAATGGGAGTCTTGTAGGAAGATAGCAAGTTGTGCGAATACCTGCTCGATAAAAGGTAACTTTCCATAAATCTTGTCGTTCCAACATAATTATAAATGCGTCAAAAACCTGGTATCATCGACAAAACTTTTATTATACGGAGTTTTAGTGGCGCCATCTATCTCCACAAAACCGTCAGCTCTCTGTGCTATCGCGAGCAGCCGCCAGAAGCCGGAGGGGGAGGGGGACAGGGCCGGACGGGTATGGCCGGACCCAGATGAGACTTTCCTCCTTTCACCATATTGTTCGCGCTACGCCCGCCAGCACCTGTTCACGCGGTCACGAGCGGATGAGTTCTCGCTGCTCACTGATGGCTCTAGAGAGAGCATCAGAACCCCGCGCGACCCTCATTGACGTCACAGCGCACGTGACCTTGAAGATGGTCAAAAAATTGAGATTCCGAAAACCTCAATCTTTGTCGATCTTTAAAATAAAAACTAGGACATGTAGGCAAAAGCGGTTTTTGTTTTTTACTTCAGAAAGGTCGAGACACCAACTCCCAAATTATCTAAGCAAAACACTGAAAGTGTTGCACAGCTCCTTTAAAGTTGTAAAATGCTGCTAAACCACGCTGAAAGGTTCGGCCGGACGACAGCCGATAGCTACGTGGGATAGAAAGAAACTTCGAAGATGGCGACCGTGGCGGTCGATGCCAACGCCCCTAGCGAGTGACATCAAGTGAATGTCACCTATACATCAACTCAGTTTTCTCGCTAAATTTAGCGGGAAAATTCACGTCTTGTGGCAGAAACATCAACTCGGTTTACTCGCTAAACTTAGCGGGAAATTGACGTCACGTGATCCACACACCACTTCATTTACCCGCTAAATTTAACGGGGGAAATCGACGTCACGTGCCCTAACGTCACGGGACCTATACAACCATTCAGTTTCCCCGCTATATTTTGCGGAAAAATATGCCTCATGTAACACACCACTCCTCTCACCCATATAATACACTTTATGCATTCTAGAACCTCGAAGCTGAAGGTCGCTTCCAATTTTTTTCATTATCCTAACGAGAGGAAACTGAGGAAGGAACGGCTCACGCGCATCCGTAGTTGAAAATGGCAAATCAGGTTCAAAAACCGCTGGTGTGTGGAATAAATAATACAGTGAAAACGACCTCGTGTGGGCCTGTTGGTTGCACTGCGTTCCGTGAGTATTGGTGTCATATTAGTTCCAAGTTGGCTCATTGTCTGGTTATTTCAAGCTAGTAAACCCATGCCTCAAACTCCCAATACAACTGGCTGGAAGCGGAGGGGGTTGGCTCCCGGAATCATTTCGACTAAAGGCCTGCTTACTTGGCCGGGCGACGCGAAATGTGCGAAACGACATCTCGTAGATCGATGAAACTTAAAGGGGCCCTGCAAGGACTTTTTACTGTTTTTTAATTTGCACCGAACCTGAGCGCACTGAACGTAGTAACTTAGTGAAACTTTTCTTTTCGCGAAATTCGCTTTATTTTAAAAGTTATAGGCAATTTAGAATTACAAAAACAAGCAAAAAATAACCTCCTTCATGACGTCGTAGGTCCTGGCTTGAGTGACCGTGAACTAGAGGAGGAATAGTGAGCTCATCGAGCGCTCACGGCCGCCGCACTCCGTGTCGACGGCGCCAGAGGGCGCCACTAAAGCATGTTCTGGATAGGCTGTATGCAGCGGGCAGCCAAAGCAGCTTTCATTGCGTTTGCTGCGCGATTAAACACTAATTCGGCATGACACTTCATTGGCCACAAACGACAGCAAACACGGGGTAAAGATCAGTTCAGAATGGGAGCCACTTCGCGCTGCCATACCGCGAAACGGCCAAACCGCAAGACAAAGCCTCTCGCCGAAGGCCTTCGGAACGCTCGGAGCCGGTCGGATCCTCCTGTCCATACGACTGCAGCGCCACCGCGTACATCCGGGATTTTTCCGTGTCGGCGCCTTATCCCACTACTCCTTTCTAGTATGCGCCGCCTTTGCCACCGCTTGGCGGCGGGTATGTCGACGGGTCATTTCTTGTTTCCTTACTTTATAAACTGCATTTCTTCTTTTTTTCGTCTATAATAGTGAACAAAAACTACTTTTATCAATAATTGAAACGGTTCGCGACACTTATATTTTGTATTTCGACCAAAAAGAAGCTTTTAGCGGCTCTGACCAGTAGTAAGCCCAGGACCAAAGACGTCACATTTTGCGCGCTTTCGGTACCGCGGGTCGCCCTCGTCGGTGGAGGAGGTTTCCGTGTCGTCCGGTTAAAATATGGCGCACTGATATTTAGCCACTCTTTCCGTGCCTGCTGGCTTGCCCGAACCCCAAGAGACGTGGAAACCGCATAAAAGGTAGTCCCTTAAATATGATTGCAGGGCCCCTTTAAGGGCCCCAAAATGAATTCAAAGTGTGCAAATTGTGTGGTGCACTTTTCAGCAAGAGCATTTACATGTATACATATTAAGTGATCCTTTTCGAAAATGGGAGAGAAAACGCATGGATCAGCTGCTGCAATTTGTCGGGCCAAGCCTGACGATGTAAGGCCATCATGCTCGAGGCAGTAGTTTCAGTTTAGCCATAGACCCCCAAAACAAAACTTTGAGGTAAGATATCTGCAAACCTACACGAGACATGGGAAAAAAGAAAAAGAAAACTCGTAATTTAGGGACACTTACTTCACTAAAACATGAGTAACCCTCGAATCGAGAAAATGGACCGGGAGTTACCCTTAACGCGCCCGTCAAACAAGAGTATAAGACACAATGCAGTGCATTTTCAATGACGAGAAAAGAAAGGGACGAATACATCTCAGCACAGAACACTGCTCTCCCACCAACATCATTGCAGGTGACTAGGTCTCAAAGAAAGGTACTGTCGAAGTAATTTCATTACTTTCTACAATTAATGCATATAATAGCAACGATCACTTTTGGCATACTAGCAATTTTTATTGTACTTGACTACATTCGGAGGAGAACCATTATGATTAAATTACATTTCAAAAGTATTGTAGCCAAGTACATGGCAAGTAATAATGATAAAAAATAAAATAAAAACTCTACGCGATTTGTGATAATAATACATGAGAGGATTGGCAGTAAAGCTGCAACACACAGGAAGACTAATAGCATCTATTAACAATATCAGGTACAATACATCCGCTTAAATCAAAAACCGTTGAATTGTCCTTTCCAGAACTTTTATAAAACACGAGTATTCAATACTTACGCACAGTGTTTGGGACTGCAATAATTGAAGCATACCGTAGAGCAGTTTGTTTTATTTTCCCACGTTATTTTAAGCAGTTTTACATTACTTTTTCTCGTGCTAGTTTTTTCACATTCCGTGCAAGTTTACAAGTAGCTTACATTTCCTATCTCGCAGCGCATCACAGAGATCGATGCCGCGCCCCCAGCTGCGATGGCATGACGACATTAAAGGGGTACTCCGCCGATTTCTTTATGGTCCCCGATTTGCTTGAAATTTTGCTAAACTCGCCAAACAACATTGCCAAAATAGTATCCCAAATATTAGGTAAAAAAAATTTTTTTTTCACGAAGTTATTGAATTTACAATTTTAGTCCTCACCGTGTTTTTCAAACTGAAAGTCTCTACTGGCAACAATGAAAAAGTGACGTCATTGGAAGTGCAGGGGTTCACTCTTTGGACTGTAGAATTTGTTCCCAACTGATTCGAAGCAGTTTCATGGTGTCAAATGAATGCTTTGGAAGCTCGCTCCAGTCCCCGCGCTCCAGCACGGAACAAATGATTGGCATATTCTATTTTTTAGACTGCTCGCCCGACTGGCAAGCTAAACTTCCAGTGACGTCACGGCCCTGAAAGGGGCGGGTATATTTGAATGTTTGTTTTTGCATCATTTTCATTTGCCGATTTCGCAATAACTATTATGAATTTCACGATACTAAATAGCATACCAGAAAGGGCAAAGGCCGGGGAGTCAGAAAATATAGTTAGTTGAGGTAGCTCAAAAATCGGCGGAGTACCCCTTTAATGCGCTACTTTTCGAACACACAAATTTGGAAACCATGAGAATGTGCAAACAGACAACAAAAAAAACAGAAAGAAAAGGGTATAAACTTCATCGCTCTGAAGCACATACACAAACACTGACACACAGGCATAAACTAAACCTGAATAAATTCTATTTTAAACATAAAGAAAGAAATGTGGAGAATGCAGGGTAAAACAATATATTATCTAAAAAAACATATAAAAGTTAGAAAAGGGTTCGTTAGAAACTTTTATTTCGTGTCTTTTTCTATTTAATAATTATTCCCTTCAAATTTATTTTAAAAAAAAGTTTGTGCACCGAAATACTGTCAGCTATAATCATCGCCATAAAATTTACGGAAATAAAAAACAAGGTTTTTGGCCTAAAAAAACATGCCAGTCATTCCTGTTCCCATGGACCCTAAATTGTTGTAAACGACGCAGGCGGCCCAAAAGCGCTACTTCGGGAAACGCATGTCCGTGCACGTCAGAGTGTTTAGGTCCGCCGACTCTCAGGCGGTGGGCGGGGAAGGATCGCAGGAAGCAGACGACAGCTCTCGTATTCTGTCCTCGGCCGCGCCCAGTCGCTCCTCCAGGACAGAAACCGTCTGCAACGGTGAAGTTCCTTGGGTCAGTTGTGGTGCCCGGTGTCCCGTTAATGTGACCAAACCGTCTTTATTTCCCGGACTGTAGTCCACGCCAAATGTAAAACCCACAAAAAGAAATATTGGTCAGAAAGAAATAAGTTCTTTTATAACCAATATGCCAAGCCCGCGCGTAAACAATTCTTGTACACGGCACACATTAAGAAATGCTTGCTTTATTACATCACAAAGAAACTTGCATCATATATAGATCATTGTTAACATACTCTATCATTCACAAACTCTATGACATGTCGTGATAATAAACGACAAAAAAAAATCCTTGCATAGTTTGTATTAGATAAAGTTTCAACTTTTATACATGTATACAACCCGTGGGCTATCCGGTGTGCAAATTCGTCCACTCTTTGCGCACGATCGTGCGTTCGTTTACCTGCTAGATGCGCCCACGCGCTTTTGTTCTTTTCCGACCTCAGACAACGACAGCGCGTGCGTCTGCCTCATCATCGCGCATTCTATAGACGCTTGCAAGCATGGCGCCTCACTGGTGCCCTATGCGTGCAAGCACGTGCAGCGTGCATGCACATGAACGTAGCTTCGGCAAACTGCTAATTGCAAGTACTTGTCCGTACAAGCAAGCATGGCGGCGGCCAGATGTCCCGTTTGTAATCGTCTATATGTTGCCGCTAGATTGGCGCGCCTCTGCTTGAGTTCCGACGCGTCGGACGTCTTTTTCGGACACTTCTCTCCATATAGTCCGTAAAAGAGGGTCATTTGGATAAGAAACGGTCATAAGGGAAACAAGAGTACTCCCAAAAGCAAAGTCAGACAGCAATTGCAGTCTCCATAATAGTGGTCAAGTGCGTAATCCATCACCTTTAATGAGGCCACTAATTAAGGAATCAATTAGGTTCAGCTTAATAGCGACCCTTAAGGCCCGTTCACACTCTTGCGACTGCTTGCGACCTCTTAAACCTGGGTTCCTTAAAACTTCTTAAACCAGAGAACACACTGGCGCCATCTATTGGGAAGCAGTGTAAACTCGGCGGTCCGGCATATTTTTTTTTTATTTCTCGCGCAATATCCTTTCTTTTTTGGCTCGAAAAACTTTTGTCAATGTTATAAACGAGCCTTTCTATGGGTATTAGGCACATTTGACCTCGGAAATCCCGCAAAACCTTCGCTTTTGTGAAATGCAGTTCTAGGGTCACCGCATAGATGGCGCCACAATGTCAGTGTGTTCCCTCATTCTAGAAACATTTAAGAAGTTGTAAGAGATCTCGTCTCTCTCAGTCGTACTCGGTCGCAAGAGTGTGAACGGGCCTTAAGAGGTCACTACTGGAGCTGAGAGAGCCACCATCGCACCAAAATGTAGAAGCCTGCAAAGTTACGATAGAATCGTCTAGCATTTCTATCAATATAAAGAAATCCTAATTGTTGCGAAATCGAAACAATGAGGCTTGGGAGCAAAGCAAATATTGAACACTGAATTTCGTGAATACTTTAGTACTGGAGGCTCCAAGGAAGCACAATTCAGTGTTTGTATACAAGCGACCCATTATCATTGCAACATTTTGTCTTACTTTTAACTTTATGCAGTCAAAGGCCTCTATGGTACAAACTGAGAAGATGAGAACCGCAGGAAGGAGCTTCAGTAGCTCCGCCTCCAGCGTGAGCTTCCTGCTTTCAACAATGCTTCTAGGTCTCGTGCGCCTCGAGCGTGCAGCCGAAGCACGGTGGAAGGCATGGAGCGCGTGTTGGGGGCCAGGCGTTCGAAAGACACGCCTTGTTGTTCTCACTCTGTCAGTGACTCTCAGCGGTAGAAAAAAAAAAAAAAAGAAGATAGACATTAGGTCTGTTCGATTCGCCTGAACTGGCTGAACTAGTTCAGCAGTGCAGGAACTGGTGCATTCGATTCAACCGGAAGTTGTACGGCCGCTGCACTGGCGCGTTCGATTCATCCCAGTTCTGAACGAGTTCAGACCCAGTTCCTCAAAATCTTGCACCGGCTCCGGAGTCAGTTCAGCGTCCGTGCAGAAGCAGACGACAAGAGCAGACGGCGATAGCAGACGACACTCCTCGTCCGTCTCTGCTCGCGGTGCCATTTTTTCGCAGGTCTTGCTCAAATGTCTGCGATGTGTAAGAATAACGCCGATACGGAGGTTGCGTTTCCTCTCATTTATGATAATAACGTACCTGCAGTGGACGCGGAATTGAGATTATAACCGAGGGTAGGAATTTGATTGATTATGATATTCTGAAAGCGTTTTAGGCACCTGCTCGTGTAGGTTTGGCTCCCGGTGGTAAGTGTTGAAATGTTGGCTCACGTAAATTGTTTCTTTTTGATGCTATGTGGGGATCCAAAGTGTTGATATTCTTTCTTACAGACACGGGAAAGGTATTGCACTCTTGATCGTCCCAGACTTCAGTTGCTCTTGGATGCATACTGACGACTCCGATACATTGCAGATGTCTGGGATTTAGTACATTGGCCCTCGCATGCTAGCTGAGCATAATACTGCATGCTTTGTCCGCTGGTATCTGTGGACGCCCACTAACGGGCATGAGAAAAACGCCGGGAATCGGAATTGACTTGGTAGTTCCACGCAGGTCTTTCTTGAGAATCAGAATAAACGCTTCAGCTTGACGCCAAAGTTATGGTCGATAACTGTTTTGGCCAAAACGCTATCGTCAGGCCTTCGTTTTCGAGGTGACCGCCACCACTGACTCCCGACGGAAAATCATCCTGATGCCGCGAACCTATCGTCGAAATGCGAAACTCGGAAGACTTGGAGTGACTCTACTATTGCTAAATGAATGTAAAGGACACGAACGCTTAGGGAAACGACAGGAACCGAACGGCCGTTAAAAATGCAGACAGAAACACATTTCGCGCAGAAAACGTTTTTAGTACACTCGAAAAAAAATATTCACAGAAAAGATTCGGTTATAATACTTTAAAAGAAACACGAATGGTCTCATCAAACCGCAACTAATTAAATGTAGCATACAACGTGGCGTGGAGAAACAAGAGCCAACAGATGCAGACGACACCCTGCGTTTCCGCTCGGAAAGGCGATCACAGCGCCAGTCCTAGCGCGGCGGCTGCACTGGTTCTGCACCGCCGCTGCACGACTCCTGCACTTCCCTGAACTCGGACAGAACTGGTTCAGAACTTTCTGGTCAAATCGAACAGACCTATTGGTTCTTCAAAGTGGCGGCAACGTACCTGCGACAGCGCCAACAGTTGTGACGTCAGCTTGTCCACTGTTTGCTGCATCTTGTGACTGGCTGTAGTCTCCTGTGGTGGACACGACGGCACATTCACCTGGACACATGGTTCACAGACTGTATATATACGTGTCCACGATTTTAGTTCTTAATTTTTCGAAAGAAACCCGTAACAATACGACGTTCTTATGCTCGTTTTAACATGCTTCCGATATGTTTATTTCTGTGCCATAATAAGGGCATTACACAAACGCTATCCCACAGACAGCACATGGTTACATGGATCCATCCACGAGACCTTGCAACGTTCCCGCGAACTTCCAAAATTGTGCATCGTATAGGTGGTATTCCCTAAAAGTCGCTGGATCCTAGGAAAGTAGTGCCATCGCCTTCGCTGCCTACTAGCCGGACACAAACATATGCTAACACACAGACTACCCAACCGCGCAAGGTGAATGGCTGATCGGTCTCAATTGCCATAGCAATCGCCCTTTCGGTCCATTCGAGTCTCCGAAGCTTCGAAAGGGTCGTTCTAAACTTAGTTGCAGCAAGATCGCCAGGGAGAATTGTTGCACTGAAAGCGTTTATGGCCAATATAAGCGCCTATGGCGCTGTGCATCTAACCCAATCATCAATCATGCTCATCTCCACAGATTTCTTAGAATGGTATTGTTGTTCTCGCGTATTTGAAGACAGGAAATTTTTTTCAATGCCGCCAAGCGCTTGTTTTGGCGGCATGTGGATAGCAAAATCTTGGTATCCAAGTTCTCTATAAAGCTACCCGTAACCATGAATTTAGATCAACTTGCCAAGAATGGAGAGGTCAAGCCATGGGAACCAACCTGGTCGGAGGCCGGCTTGCTGGGTCGCGTAGTGGCCAAGTCTGGAAGCTCCCTGAGTACTTCGAGCGAGACTTTGGGTGAAGGAACGTCTCCGCCGTTCTCTTTGTCAGAACTGTCGCAGCCGGTCTTCCACAAAAACACCTGCCAATCGGAACAGTGAAGTTGAGATTCTCTTCACTATATTACAGTCGCCAACAACTTAAAGAGATACTGACACCAGACTTGTACGTAATCCGTTACAAGGAACAAAATTACTTGTAATCCCTTACATTTATCGGTAATTTCGTAAGGGAGTAATTACATAGTTCAGAAAGTAATTGTAAGATACTGTCCTTACTTTTTACGTAAGGGAATGCTTGTAATCCGTTACATTTTTGTTTCCATTTGGGGAGGAAAAAGCGAGAACTTTAGATATTACCCAAAAAAAATCGTATTTTTTTTTTCCCTAAGGTATTCACCGGAACCACACATTACAATCACAATCACAATTTACGAAACGAAAAGCCCGCCATTTTCTAGATGTTCAAAGGCTTTCTTCATGTCACCTAAAAACCTCAAATATTTTTTTTTTGTTGTTGTTTGGTTGTTTGCAAGTCGCAACTGTCAGCTTGCTTGACCACAACGAAGTGGGAAGCACACCGATACAAAGAACCGGACTCTCCGTGCAAAACAATATTAAATAAACCCCCAAGTTCAAAGTGTTCCCGTCAAACAAAAATAAATAAATAAATAAATAATTAAATAAACGTTGAAGTGCAGTTCGGCGGAAATCTTCACATAAAAACGAGGTAAGATGTCCGATGAGACCTTTTTAGAGCCAGATGACGCTCAAGGTCCCAAAATAGTGAGATGCGGCAACAATAAACGCTTCCAAAACACTTATGTCTTGTTTCTTACCCTAGGACAGTAAGGTTGAAAAGAACGCCGGGAAAGTAACGAATTACTTATAATGCGAGAGCATTAACTGTCTCATGGAGCGAGCCGACGTCATCAGCTTTGAAACCGTGCAAAACGGCACCTTAACGAAACCACGCGCAAAGCTAGCCAACGGCACCTTTCCACTTCGGTCCCATTGGCTGGCACGCGTCCACGAGGCTCCCATTGGCCGCTGCAAGTCAGTTTGTGCGCTGTCATCCTGACTGTGTTATCACGCTGTTGTGTTATCAGTGATCACCGTGTTTGCTCGCCTCTTATCGGTTGTACGGGGCGTGACAATATATACGGTGCATGGAACAAACCAAGGGGTTCGTTCTGCTGGGAGCTACGTTGCTGTCTGTTCCTTCCTCGCGCCGCAAGACACACGACAGTTTGAACGATCGCTCACCCGATGGCGCTGCGTGTCCGCGAGGCAATGGCTCCATCGTTCCACGCCCAAGGCCAGTGCGTTGTACGCCGCACATTAAAGAAGGGAGCGAAAAGCGGCGTGCCTGCTTTTGCATTCCCAACTGATAAGAAGTGCTTAGGTGTACCTCGAGACTTTCTGAAGCAACGGTTACTTACTTTTATGGAAGGGTAATTGTAACTGTAATTAGTTATATTTAGCTATGGGTAATTGTAAATGTAATTCCTTACTTTTTTTAGTAATGTGTACAAGTCTGATTGACACCCCTGAAAAAAAGTTTTTTTTTTTTGGCAGGCGATTTAATGTGGTGCCAGAAGTCTATCAATATTTTGCAGCAACGTCACGTATATTTTGAATAATAATAATAATAAAAAAAAAAAACGGAACTGCTCAAAACTGATATTGAAACTGGACTGGCGAGGGAGAGGAAATGCAGAGGTGAGAGTTGCGGAAGTCACGTGGCTACACCCGACTGCGTTTTTCCTTTTTTTTTTTTTTTACTTTGTTTTCGCTAACTTGAGGTCTACCCACTATCCTTTCAATCGGAGCCAATCAGAGCTCGACGTCTTTCTGACGTCACCGCGACCCCTACAAGAAAAGCAGACGAACTCGCGCTCCGCAAGCAAGGTACCCCCCCCCCCCCCCTCCCCAAAAATTCAGTTTTTTTCTTCTCACCGTAACCAATAAACTCCGCATCGCCGAACGCTCATTTTCTGTCCAAACGTAGCGCTAGCGGCCCGAACCACATGCCAAAGTTTCAGAACGAGCCGTTATCTTAGTCAAAAGTCATTAAGTGATGCTCTGAAATTTTTAATGGGAAAATGGAGGACCATTGAGCTCTCGAATACGCGGAGCTGAACGGCGCCAGTTACCGAAAACAGCAAAAAACGGGCCACTTTTTTTTTTTCATTTAAAGAAAATCGCTTGTAAGTTTTGATTGAGATAACATGTTACCTCATTGAAAACTTTGGCATCTGGACCGGACTGCTAGCTCTACATTTGGGAGGAGAATGAGCGCTCAGCAACGCAGACTTCATGAGAAAACATGATTGCGCTTTAAGACAAAGACAGAGGAAGAACAGGCACCACAGAGCGCTCTGTGGAGTCTGTTCTTCCCCTGTCTATGTGTCTATGTCTTAAAGCGCAATCATGTTTTCTCACGTACCAATACCAACTCGCCCAACAATCACCACTTGGCACACTTCATTTCCTGCAATAAAAAAAAAAAAACTTTTTGTGCGTTGTTTTTTGGGGGGGAGGGGGGGGGGGGAGGGGACGGACACGTACACAAAGCCTATTTTTTTTTCTGGAGGGAGTAACTTTAGCTATCTGTTTTATGCTATTGCATAACATATATGCAAACCTTTTGCATCTCTCTCAGGGTACCGTGCTAATTACATTTCTGAGCCTACAACTAGTAGCTGCAATAACATAAATCCATTTATTGGAAACCTACAGACCTCTTACAGGCAAAGCTTTCATCTTTGGTGGCATACAACAAAAGTTTAGACAAAGTTAAGATTTATTACCGGTCCAAATTTATTCAGTTGTCATATCACTCATGTCTCAGTAATATACACACATTTATTCCCTCCAAGAAGCGCCCACAATATGAATCGTTCACGATAACGAGACAGGAACGCACGTATTTACCCAGTTTGTTCCCAAACCTGTTCTCTATAAGCGGGGCATCTATCCATAATAACGGGGTCCGTAATAACTAAACATGACAGTACTAAGGATTTGTTTGGTCAACAAGCTCTGCACCTGTACTGAGGAACACTCCCGATGCAACCAAAGCAGAGACAGTTTAGTGAAGAACCGAAGCAGGACAAAGTAGGCAAACTTACACGGAAACATGCCTTGTGTTTCTCGAGATTTTATACCGTTGAGAATGTGCGTGAAAAACGTCTTCCCGTTTGGTACTAGACTTTCAACGCAGCGGCACACATGCGTCAGCAGAAGTCCATTGACACAGTGAAGCGATTAACCAATAAAAGAGGAAAGATGGGCCGTGACTCGCCTGATTATCCTGGCCACCGGTTGCAAAGTAGCTTCCATCGTCAGAGAAGCTCACCACATTCACTGGTTTCTAAATAAACGCATTGACAAAAACAAAAAATGCGGTTGAAACAATTGCTGATTGAGGCTCCGTTATACGGGGTGTTCGTTTTAGAAGGAACAGAATATTTCCCAAGGGGGAACTTCTGTTAGGGTTTTTATAGCACTGGGACAAAGTTGAGGGCCCTGGGAGCCACTAGGAAAAAAGCAAAATGAGTAAAACTAAATTAGCATGCTAATCAGCTAGAAAGTTTCAATTACCGTTTTACATATTAATTTATTTATTTTTTCTTGGGGGGGGGGGGGGGGGCGGGGGGAGGGCGGCATATTGCAGTGATTAAATTCGGTTTGAGAATTCCTCGCCCCATAGCACCCGCCAAATTTTTCATCAGAAATGTCTTGTTACGGCTAGACTGTAATGCAGTCGAGCGTAAATTCTGAACTAAACTATGCCCCCCCCCCCCAAAAAAAAAAAAAGATATATATATATATATATATATATATGAACAAATATGTGCAGATGAATGAACCGTACTTAATCCAATGAATCAAAGAATCAAAGTTTCCAGGAACCCGCCGAAAGCCAAAAATTGGCGAAGCCAATTTTTGGCTCCGCCAAAATTTTTATATATATATATATATATATATATATATATATATATATATATGTGTGTGTGTGTGTGTGTGTGTGTGGTTTAAGTTAATTAGCTGACTAAAAAAGCAATTTTGCATTCCAAAAAAAAAAGTTATTAAACAGGCGAGCTGGTTAACCGGAGACGAAATGACGACAAGGGGCAAATACAAACGTCCCAATTTTGAGACGTGCTTGTTTTTACGCTTGCTGCCCATTTGTCTCCAGTTCTTCATATTTGGTTTTTTTCCAGTGGCCCCCATTGCCACAAACCTAGGCCCAGGGCTAAAAAAACTGTAATGCAAATACCTTAAAAGAAAAAACTTTTTTAATGAACAAAACACTCAGTATAGCTCAAATAGAGCACGCAAGTGCGTACACTGTTTGAACAATCGTGCGTAGGTTAAAGGGCACATTGAAAAGCACACTTATTCAGGCAAAAATATTTTAAGTTGTGAAGAGATAAGATAATCCGCCAACCAAAAATTGAAATAGTAGCGACCCTACGTTTCGAAACCGTTCGTTTCTTCTTCAGGGGGATGAATGAAGGACAGCAGCTTCTTCTTCTGAAGAAGAAGAAACGAACGGTTTCGAAACGTAGGGTCGCTACTATTTCAATTTTTGGTTGGCGGATTATCTTATCTCTTTATTATTTACCCAACCAGAGAGAATTCTCTCAAACATGTTTACCTTCAAATATTTTAAGTTGTTATAACAGCTGCCTGTGGCACTCTTATACAGTATAGGTAACATAGAGCGGACAAGTGCATGGATTGTTTTAAGAAGCTTTTGTTTTGCTTAAACCCCCAAACTTTGCATCTAGACACACTATGCATTGAAAAAAAAAAAAACTGTCATACAAATTTTAATTTTCTTATCCAGACGAGTTTTATAAAAGCACCATGAAAAATTTGAGGTTAACACCTAAAACAATTGTGCAAAAACTTGCACACAAAAAAAACTTGTTTTATTCTTTAAAGAGGTTCTTTTTTACGTCCCACGGTGCCACAACAAAGCGTGCCATTTGGCCCTACGTCATATGTACCCTCTATATCTTTTTCTCTGTCTCTCTCTCGTTTCCCATCCCAATCCATCTTTTACATTAAAGGCCGACCACCAAGCAGAAAACTCTCCCTCAGTTCCTCCTTTCCCTTCGAGAAAGGGGGAGAGACCTCCCCGCTTTCTGTGGGGAGTAGCTGAAATATCCGCTCCTGTGGGGAAAGGACAAAAGAGGAGTGCCAGAGGGAATGGAGAGCGGGAAACTGGGAACAGGTCTTCCCGGCAGAAGACGGTTCGGACGGGTCGGCCCACAGCTTACTCTATACTCACAAAGTCTGGAAGTTCGACGACGGAGTCATAGAGTGCCCGGTCGCAGATTTGGAGCGCAAGCCTCAAGGATCTGGCAGCACAGAGCATGAAAGGGCCATTTCTCGGGGAACCTGGACGTCAGCGCACACCTTTTGCAGCGGCGAGGACCCGAAACACACTAGTTCGCTCGGGAGAAGTGTATTTCGGCGTCTCGCCGCAGCGGGGCGCCAGTCACGTGGCTCCCTTCTCATCCGTTGTCTGCCACTCTCCCTTTCCTATTTCTGCAGCCGCTTTTCGCGGCGACCTGCCATTCTTTGTCAGTTTAAAGGAGGCTATGGTCGGCCTCTCGACGACGAGCTCGTGCACCGCGCGTAGGCGTCCTTACCAGCCGAGTGCCGAGCGTGTATAGCAGCCTCCCCTTGGCGATGTCGAAGAGGCGCACCAGCGAGTCCGCCGAGCCCGTGAGCAGGTGCTCGCCTCCAGGGTGGAACGAGAGTGACGTCACGGGGCCCTCGTGCGCTGCGAGGGGAACGCGGTCACGACGGGACACAAAAAAAAGAGCAGTCCTGCGTGCACCCACAGTGAGGTCGCAGCAATAGCTGCGGCACCATATCGGATCCTAATCCGTCCCGATGTATCCACACTTCTGGAGCTAGCACTGTACGCGAACGAACCATCGCCCAAGTCTGCACGGCGAGTGACCACGCTCATCTATATATATAAAAAAGAAGCTAACTAAATAGGCGATATTAAGCAACTACCGCAGATTTACGTGACATCACGGCGTCACGTAACAGTGATGTCAAATGTCCTGACACTGCAACGCCACATGAAATCGTGACGTCACGCGAATCTGACGTCAAGGTGGCGCGTGGCGATAGAGACGACAAACGCCCTAAACCATCATTTCTAGATTTTTTTCTTTTTTTGGGGGGGGAGGGGGGGAGAAAGAGAAGAGCCTATAACCGCTATCAATGTAAAAATGATGTTCAATCTACAACTGCACAGTGAACAACAAAGATCAAAACAAACCACCACTGTCCCGCCAAGTTATTACTGCACACAATATTGGTTACTATTGTTTCTATTTTTTTTATGCTTTTTTTTTCTCCAAGCGGTGTATTATCTCGCCCACTTTTCCCCCTTCTGCCTTACCACGCCCACGAGGAGAAATAATTGAAACGGAATTCGCCGCACAGCACCCAGACAGACATTGGATTGCCTGATTAGCACTAGAGGAACCGTGAAACCGGAGAGCGATGATTAAACACCAACCAGGTGGCGCTAGTCGCCACCCGATTCACTGTTTTCAGCAAATATACATCTGTCCGTCCATCCACCCGTCGATCCAAAGCGTGTCCACGTTTCAGTTTTCTCCTCTCCACAACGGTGCCGTGACGATGAGGCACGGCATAACTTTCCCAGCGACCCTTCCCAGGGAGAATAGAGCAACCCAAATAAAACGGGAAATCCGTTCACCGCGGTGTAGGAAGGAGACGGATCTCAAAATGTCAGCGAAACGCAGGCTGCTGTCACCCGATTCCAGCGGCGCGTTTTGCGGCATCCTGTTCACGAAGCCGCCCACAAAGACCTCGTTTACGGTCCCCTATCGACGCGACCGCCGAAAAGTCGGTCACTTTGACGGATGCGTCAGGAGCCCGATTCCAAGCTCAAACACGATAACGCGCGCGAGCGTCCGCGTCGATGCCGGCTTTCCCGCTTCACACGTGTGCGAAGCGGCAAAGCCAGCTTGCCGGACCACAAAACAGATTAAACTTTTTTGTAGAGCGCAGCTCTTTGGAGCCCGTTTCCGGCTTGAGCGGCGCCGCCGTCGCTGTCAGCGTAACCGCGCGGCGCATTATGGGAAATGTCCCGTAATGCACCGCGCGGAGAGGAGGGGGAAAAGGACGAGGGGGAGAGGGAGAGGAGGAGGGGGAAGTGGAGGAGGAGGATGAGAGGGGGAAGAAGGAGGGGGAGGCAGAGAAGGGAAGAGGGGAGGGGGAGGAGAGAAGACGAGGGGAGGAGATTGAAGGATGAGGGGAGGAGGAGGACGGAGGAGGCGAAGCAGGGAGGATGAAGAGGTGAGGAAGAGGGGTATACCCTTCCCTCCTCCTCCTCAAGAGCTGTGCTCTAATTCGGCATCACAGCGAGTTGTAAATGTCTTTAATTTTTTTTTTTTTTACAGTAAGATTTTGCGCATGCGTACATCCACGTCGGGCTGCCCAAACGGCGGTCGTTACTCGATAGTTTGAGCAAAAGATATTAGGTACCTTTAGCAAACCGTTACCGCGTTCCGCGCATCGCACTACCGGAGCCTTTGAAGTATGCTTTTAAAGGAGTCATGAAACGCTTTTTCAACTGTTTTCTGTTTAGCTTTCCTCCTCAACTCATATATCGCGCATTGTACCAAACAGTTCAAGAAGTCGGAAAGGGGGGAGTCCCCTCTTGCTCGGAATCTCGCTTGCAGCCGGACACAGTCATTGTCCCCCTAGAAGATAAGCCCGTCGCTCAAAATTCCGACTAGTTGCTTTCCCCACCCCGTTCACCCCGAAGCTGACAGTGCTGTGGAAGCTACGTGCTCGTTGGGCCAGCCAGACATTTTCCACGTGATCATGCTCTCTCGCGCATACCGCGACCCGCAGAGAATGAGGTCAGGTGATGAAAGGGAGACGGCTGATTGGTCCGGCAAGCGCGTAGCTTCCACCGCAATGTCAGTTTAGGGGTAAAGGGATTAAGTGAGGTCCGGTGTTGTGTGACGTGCGCTTGGGCCCTGGTGACGCGCTGCGGGGGCCGGTGACGCGCTGCGGGGTCCGCGGATGTATCACAGTGAAAAGGCGGAGAGTTTACGAAGGGAAGGAGGTACGAAGTAGTCCGCTATGTTTTGCAAATTTTCGTAGCGAAAGTCACGCTTCTGACTTTCTACCTTTGTTCCTTTGGCCCACTGAACGATGTGCTATTAGTAAAATCCCAATATAAATTGATTTACCCCAGCCCAAAATTCGTTTCATGGGTCCTTTAAGTGCGCGCCCCGCGGTCGCGGTATCACCCGGGCGCACGCACTCAAGTGAATTCTGAGATCGTCTATTTATTGTCATAGCTCAATCTATAGATTCTAAGTACCCTAAAAAAAACTACGTTCAAAGGCGGCCGATTTCCATATTAAAAATACAATCAAAGATCGTGGCACGCCCCCTTTTCTGCGCCGTGGCGCAGAACACCAGAGGGCGCCACCGGACGGGAAGGCAGCAGGGGAGGGCACGTGACAGCCAACCGATGGACTAAATTTTCGAATACGCGCGCCTTCGAAAAATCATTCCGCCGGGAAGCCGTCACTCATGATTGGCTGTCGCGTGCCCTCCCCTACTGCCTTGCCGTCCGGTGGCGGCCCCTGGTGTGCTGCGCCACAGCGCGGAAAGAAGGGCACGGCACGATCGTTGATTGGATCTTTAATAGGAAAATCGGCCGCTCTTGAATGTGATTTCGGGTTTAATAGGACGCTTGCAGCCCGTAGATTGAGTTATGACAATAAGTAGACGATCTCAGAATTTACTTGAGTGCCCCTTTAAGGGGTATTCACCCGGCACGCGCATCCCACGACGAAAACGTCAGGCTTTGCGATTTGCAAAAGCCTCGCGTTTTCGTCTCGTGACGCGCGCGTGCCGGGGAGAAATCCCCGGGATTTCTCCCTCGTGTGAATACCCCTTTAAAAGCATGCTTCAAGTGCTCCGGTAGTGCGGTACGCGGAATACGGTAACGGTTCGGTAAAAGTCCCTGATTTGTGCCCCCTCCCCCCTTTTGTGATCATGATCAAGCTCGCGTTATTTATGTTTTATTATTTGTATGGCGGGCCGAGTTCTAGGGCAAGCTTGAGCCGGCGGCGAACGGGAAGAAGGACGTCGTACCCGCGTACTCCTGGAGCTGCTTGAAGTTGCGAACGTCGTAGCAGCGGACCACGCAGTCCATGCCTCCGACGGCCACGAGGAAGCCGTTCGGGTGGAACTCGGCGCAGCGGAGAGCCCTGCGGACGGGAGCAAGGGGGACACTGCAGTTTTCTACTTGACGCCGAAACCAATTCCACCTAGAGTCACTGAATAGGGTGGAAACCTACTCAGCGACTGCCAATACCACATAAAGGCCAAAACTGCGCCCTTCCCCCTGAAACGTCATCTCTGGATGGATAGATAGGGCTGAACCGTTTGAATCGGGCGGCTGCTTGCGCCACCTAGTGGAGACGAGCGCGTCTGCCGATTTGCGGCGGCTCTTGTCAATCTTCGGCGTGTTTGCCGCTCGAGGGCGGGCCGAGAATCCTCTTTCTCGGAAAGGCGGCTTGCGATTGGCTGACGCGCGCTTGTCGTCACGCCGCCGGCGGATCCGCTGGATCCTGAGCTCCAGATTTTGACGCTCGGAAACGGGCACGAACTTCGATCCCATTTTGAGTAGGGAAATAGACGTCGCACGAGCATAATTTTTCGATTTCTGGGATGCTTGGAGCCCGTACAATAAGTTATCACCAAGAAGAGACGATCTCAAAAACGTCTTTAGTGCACTTTTAAGTGCGAGCTTCTTGTAAGTTCAAATGCGTCCCGGCTGGCGTACGAGCCCTCGTGCAGCGGGCGCAGAAGTCGAAGCCACCCGGTCGCACTACACTCTTTGAGAAAAGGGTATCGATAGTCCTCCCCAAAGGGAGAGAGAGAGAGAGAATGCACTTTAATATTGAGCACAAATTAAGTGTTCAAAACATCCATGGCTTGTAGCACCAAAGCCATTTGGTCATCCGGTTCGTCCGACCCCCAAAGGGAGAAACGGTCTTGTAACCTATGTTCCTTTAGCCTGAAAGCATGCAGGGTACCAAATAGTTCTTCCATCGCCAGCATCTCATTATGGCGGCCCCGAATCGAGCAAATCGAGCTTAATATTGCTCAATATGTCTGTTGTATGGGGCCAGAGGAGCAGTACATAACTTATTTACGAAGCCAGCTTCCCCCCGCAGGTAACAAAACTTGCGTTTCGAACGCAGTTACTCAGTCTTCTCGTTGTCAGCACTGCGATGTTAAACAGTGACCACCGATATCCCTTTGCGCACTTTACATCTTACCTATCCTATTCCTGAAGCCACAATTCCTTCGTCGACCGCACATCACCGAGGAGTGCTAAACCATCCCCGAAACCAAAAGCCGCTCCCACAAGAGCAATTTCGAAGCAGGCTATTTGACCCATCGTTGCACGGTAACCAGAAATTATCGCGTAGCGTGAAAGAAGGTTAAATCGCTTGCCATCAGGTGGCAGGGTCAAGCAGAGTAACTGCAAGTAGCTAGCTAGGTGGCGGTAGGTACCGCCCGATTCATGCCCTACAAAAAATATTTTTATGTCCTCACGCCACCATTGCCCTTAGGCAGTGGTTCTCAAATGAGTGTCCGCGTACCCTTTGGGGTCCGCGAAGGCGTTCTAGGGGTCCGCGAAGCCCTGTCTCATCCCTCACGCCTGGCAATAAAAGTTTTATTTTTTCAGGTCGAAATGAAATGTTTGTTTTCGGGCGAGTTTTCTCGTGTGTACGTCAATAAGAGAGGTCTAGTTCACACTATCCCTTAGTTATATGCATTTATTAAATCATTATTAGGTTCAACCTATACCTTTCCTCTCCACTCACTACGAACGGGGTCCTCCACCATCTCCGCCGATCAACGAGGGGTCCTCGAAACATCGATGGTTGAGAACCACCGCCCTTAGGGATCTTCAGGACCCTTATTATACACAAATGTAGACACATTACACCTACCACAAGCATCAGCTGAACATATATATTGAGCGCATACACATACAAGGCATATACAAACATCAATACAACAGCACATTAACCCGATCTTTTTTCTTTATTTAAAAACGTTTTTATTTACAGTGTTAAAAGCTGGCCTTCTTGCCCATTGCCGAAGCCACGCATGTATAGAAAAATCTACCCAATCAAATTTCCATGGGATCACTTGTGCATTATATAATGTCTATTTATGAACTTGTCTCTTTTCACCATGTAGTTTTTTTAAACGTACTTGCCAACGGACCACTGTTCGAAGCCGGGAATGTCCCTTTGCTCGAACAGGCTAGAAAAGCCTTCGACAGAATGGCTCCAGGCCAGCTTGCCTTTTTCTACAACCAGCGTGTGATCCGTGCGGGATCTCCACATCGCATGCATCCCGAGCAGAAATAGCACTTCTACGCACTTTTGGTTTTCACCAGCTGCAACATAAAGACATTTTATAGTGCCCCAATCCGGTTGGGCCTCATCAAGGTTAAAAGCATGACGGAGTTCCGACCAAAACATTTCAGCATGAATACACGGAGCACATAAACCCGATCACTCCTTCGGAGCTCTGCGTTTCCGTCTTTTATTAGCCCCGAGAGCGAACACAAGCGTCGCTGCGGTCGCCGCGCCCTGATTGGGTGAGGTGTACCGTGAAGTCATGGGGAGGACTCCGCTCCGCGATCTCGCATCGGCTCGCTTCCCAGCACCGGTTTCCTGGTTTGGCGTTGTGTGCCGCAAGCTCTTCGAGGAGCTGGACTTCGTTTACCCGGTGTACAAGACGTTGAGTTAGGCCGATATTGACGTACTTCCGTACATTTTATAAGCCTGCTTGTCCCTTTTACCTTTAAAAATGGGTTACAAATCCCGAAAGCTATCGGCGGAGGCGGTTCCGCCGATGAGCCTCCCCGCCCGTCCACACGACACAAGACAATCTTGCGAGGGGACAGTGAAGTGGTGGCGCAAGTGTTTCAGACGCTGGAATTCTGTTCCTTGCATGTTCATAATTTAGGACGATATTACATCCCGATTTCAAGGCATTTGAAGTGGCATTTATATCATGGGCCTTTGGGTGGTCGGCAAATTAGCTCGCGACCCCGACTCTGCGCTGCCACTCTGCATGCGCTGATTCGCAGATGTTTTAAAGGCCCTGTGTCTGATTATCTTTGAAGTGCTCGTGGAACAGGGTTGTTTTACATAAATGTAGCTTCTTCGTGAATTAATGATATGGTTTATACACGTATTCAGGCATATTTCTTAGAATATGCACAATTACTGGAAATTAGTTCGTATGGTAGCAGAAAAAACGGCCGAATTGCCCCCAGTTGCCTGTATGATATCTATTGAACAGCCCAAAATATGTGCAGCAATAGTGCCGCAATTTGGAATGTTTAGAATTTTTTCTGACATTTTTTATTCCAGACTTAGGTATTCGGAAAATACACCGTTTAGTCTGAATTGTCATTTCCAATTGAAAGAGACACTGCTGCAGGTGCCCAAAAGCTTCCTCAGCCTCCAAACTCCCTACAGCTGGACTCTCTGACAACAGAGGAAAACAGAAGTAAAAGCAAGCATTCGAACGTCTGTCCAATGGCAGATGCAGCACTGGTAGCAAAAAATGTGGAATTTGTGAAGGGCGACAGTCTGCGTGAGAAAAGCTTCTGGTATTTTAGCTTCAGGACAATTCGATTTAAGTAAAATCTAAATTTTAGGGTGTAAGGGACTAATAACGAGCTAGACACGTTCGCTTACGTTTGTTATACATTACTTGAGGGTTTATATAAGCAAGTCCACAGATACCACCCGTGTAGTCCATTGAAATATTATCCGAATCCAGCAAAGGTCAAATGCGAGCAATGTATATAATAAATGTTCCTTGTTTTTTTTTTTACTTTGCCCCTGCACTTGGGTTGTCTTACTTGTGATTCTCTCCCCATGGCTCAGACTATTTAGCATGTTGCTCGAGCAGCATACAGCTTTTCTGCTTCGGCTATCTTGTTTAAAAACAGAGATACAAAAGAAATAGTATACATAACCTGCCAATTCATTCAGACCATCAGCAGCATTTATTGCTCGAGACGTAAATCTATAGTGATGCTCCTGCAATTGTGGCCATATTTCTTTATTTTCATATACCAGCTGTGATTCATGCGTTGCCTGCCCTGTCAACCATGCTTAAAATGTTGGTTGAAGTTTCGCCTGTAGCTACAGGCCATACCTCAATAAAGGCACATATAAAAATTTACACTTCCTATGACAAACACGCCCAAATAAAAATAAATAGAAACGAGCGCGCCGACAGCTAGCGTCGTCACAGCCCCCACAGGGCGAGCGAGGCGAGTCGGGGAAAAATTCTCTCCTCGCCGTGACGTCACCCTGGTTCGCCGTAAGGGGGCACCACGCGAACTTCTCGGGGCTAATACTGGTCGTTTTGAACGTACGGATTTTCTCGGTGACCATCTCAGCAATAAAAAAAAATGTTCCCAGTATGTTGATTTTTTCCCAGCAATCTCATCCTCTGAGAGTATATTCAACGGCCAAGGGGATGAATCTCTTAGTAAAAAGTAAACGCTGATGCCGTAATTATTTGAAAGCCAATAAATCAGGCCGCTCCCATGCGGTTCCAAGCCATGTGTTTGCTTCCCCAGACAGTACGTCGTAGCCAATATTTCTATTGCAGTGTTGTTTTGTTTTTTTTGTTTTCTTTTATTTGTGCTGCTCACGCGCGGCTGCAATTGTCATCTTGAATTAATATGTGTAGAGACCCCCTCTCCACGGACACACGGGCAGAGAAATCGCTTTTTAATCAACTTGAATGCAGTCAAAGCCGCGACTTGCGGCAGGTGTTAAGTGTACGGAGCTACGCCGTGGCGAGCTCGAAAACTTCTAGCGCTCATCCCAACGCGCCACTTGGAGGGCAGTTTCTCCAGGAACTGTAGTATATTTAAACAGCAAAATAAAGGGTACCTTCTTTTTTTTTTCGATTTTACCTACTATTTTTTTTAATGCTGAAATTCCACACTGTAAATATACGTACTTTCCGTCATATTTTCATACTGTTCAGTCCTTTCCCCAGAGCGCAATCGTTCTCTGGGAGGAGACAACAGGGCATCGCGGACGACAGTCACATTGGCCACTGTACGATAGGAGCTGCGGTTCAGACCAGCGTTACAACATGACTATCCGCAGGTCGATCGATTGCATTGTAATCCCTCAAGCGGTCT